CAGTCAGCTACTAAGAGCGCCACACATGTGGACCAGGCATCCTCCATCCCCAGATGGCTGGTGAGCCTAGTCTCTGCCTGTTCCCTCAGCACTGAGAGGGTGACCATCTGTGAGCACCTCTCCTCTTGCCTTTACGAGAAGGGAAAGTGGAATTTTAAAGACAGTGACAGTGATCTCCGTACAGACCATTTGATGGGGGATGGTTTGGTGGCAGTAAGAGAATAGAACTGGAAAAATATGTAACATGCAAAAGGGTCATGGACCCTTAGCACAATGCCTGGTACAAAGGAAGTGTCTCATTAACAGCATGATAATATATTATTATTACTAATTACCAGTGGGAAGAAACTGGTGTGAGGCCTGTGATGGGTGAACTTTCTGAGCAAGGCAAGGTGTCAGAAGATGCTGAAATGGTTCCTGTGGCATCACTCCCACCCAGCAGAGGGACCCATGGAAACATGGGACCTGGCCCAGTGTTGGATGGCTGCCTGCCAAGGAGGGGGCAGAGAAATCTTGAGGGACAGGAGCTCGAGAGATCTGGAAATCAGATCTCAGGGCCACCAGAGAGCATCTCACTGGGAAAGCCTCCCACCCCTGTGCTGGGGATGGAACCCAGGGCATCTCAAATGCCCGGAAAGCACTCCACCACTAACTTGAGCTACATCCCCAGCCTCCCTGCCCCCCAAGGAAGGAGCTTCTAAAGCCATCCTGGCTGTCCTCCCCAGCATTATAGCTTCTGGCTACTTTCCAGTGAGGGACAGCTGCAGAGGTGACCTTTATCTGAAGAAGGCTTAGTATGGCTTCAGAGTGTTTGAAATCCACTGACCTAGTCCTGCACCCTGTCTGCAGGGGGCAACTGAGGCCCAGAGAGACAACTGTCACCAACAAGGATCAGCCAGGGGTGCAATCCAAGCTGTAGAGCCTGGATGGCTCTTGGGTTTAGCCCATCCCTGCTACGAAATACCTTTCACAAATGAGGCTCCCGCTTTGGGCAACAGTCCCATGGGAACTGGTGGGGCACTACTTGGTGGTTTGCCCCTTGCCCTCGACATAGGCAGGTGAACAAGGACCTGTTGGACCAATTACAGTTCTATGGGACTGTGCAGACAGAGGGCGGCTCCCTCTCTAGAAACTAGCAACAAAGTGCCTCCCTGTTGGTGGCAAGTGAGGCCTCTCGGCAGGGTGAGGTCATCCCTAACTTGGTGTGACTAAAGTCAACTACCCATGGGACAAGCAGGTTTCTCTGAGGGAGTGCACTAGAGGACTCATTTCTGTCTGGCCCAATATTATTGATCTTTTAAAAAATTTTATTATATTATTGTATTGATATTCTGGGTCTTTTGTTACATACTACGCACGGTGCCAAAAGTTGGTAAATGTAAACACAAGACATTGTTTTACTGTCCAGAAGCAGGCAGTAAGTCAGCTTATAGCACAGAGTGAGGTCAGCTGGTGAGAGGTGGGCCAGGATCCCACCTGACAGACAAATGTGATAGTCTCTGCTTTAAATTTTTTTCATTATGATATAGTTTCAGATTTAAAGAAAAATTGCAAGAATGGTGATCTGTGTATGTTCTCCACTAAGATTGCTCACATGTCAATATTTGATCACATTTGCTTTATAATATCCTCCTTCTGTTTAGGGCTGCCATAACAAAAAAACACAGCTGTGGGCTTTCACAACAGAAATTCATTTCTTAGGTCAAGGTGTAGGCAGGGTTGGTTTCTCCTGAGGCCTCTCTCCTTGGCTTGCAGATGGCTACTGTCTCCATGTGTTCTTACACGGTCTTTCTCTGTATGTCCGAATTCCTTCTGAACCATTTTAGAATAAATTCAGGTATGAGGCCCCTTTACCCCTAAATGCTCCAATGTGTATTTCCTAAAATCAAGGGCATTTTCCTACATCACCACAGAACAATCAACAAAATAAGAAAACTTCTGGGCTCTGTGGCTCACACCTGTAATCTTAGCTACTCAAGAGGCAGAAATTAGGAGGATTGTGGTTTGGAGCCAGCCCAGGGCAGATAGTACATGAGACCCTATTTTGAAAATACCCAACACAAAAACAGGGTTGGTGAAGTGGCTCAAGTGGTAGACCACCTGCCTAGCAAGTGTGAGGCCCTGAGTTCAAGTCCCAGTGCTGCCAAGAAAAAAGAAAACAACAACAACAAAACCCCAAATTGACATCAATACAGTACTCTAATCTACTATCTAACCAATCTCGGGTCCATTTGTCCTATTGCTGGTGACACTAACTTTGATCACTTAGTAAAGGTCGGGTCTTCCAAATTTCTCTTCTTCAGAGTTATTTTTCTTCCATAATTAAGAATTGTCTTGAAACTATGCAAACATCTTTCTTCTCATCAAATTTTCATATGTATCTGATGATTCCTTATGTAATACATTATTACTGCAGTGGCCTGATGGTCATTTTCTTTTCTTTTCTTTATTTCTTTCTTTATTTATTTTATGACCCAGGCTGACCTCAAACTCATGGTACTCCTGCCTGAACCTCCCCAGTGCTGGAATTACAGACATGTGCCATGCCCAGCCTGATGGTCATTTTCTGATTCTGTCACTCCTTCTACTTGAGGTTACAACCCCTTGTTACCATGATCTATTTGGATGCTGAAATGGTCCCAGATTTGGCCAGTCACAGAACCCCCACCCCACTTTTAAATTCAACATTGCACTTAATCCTTGACCTTGACCAGAAAGGGGGCCATGTCTGTGGGAAGCAGTTCCTGCAGGGTAGATAATGAAGCACTCAGACCCTTCTCTGCTAGGCTGAGGATGGAGGTGAGATCTAGGCAGCAAGGTGTCCCAGAGGGCTGTTTGGGTCCACTGGATTCAGGCCTAGTTGAGCACCTCCTATGTGCCAGGCATGGCCTCAGCTCTTGAACAGATCAGAAAATGGGGGAGAGGAAGACAACTCACAATTATGCTCTTTCTAGAATTGAGAACTTCGGTACCCAAGAGGTAACTTGAGGGGCTCTCAGCTATGCAAGTGAGGGGGCAGTAAGCAATTGGTTTGGGGTACTAGTCTGAGTGCAAGAGAAAGCTGGCTCAACACCTGGTCACTTGGGGCATTAGTGGGCCATGGCATATAAAATCCAAGGCCATTAGGAGGGAAGCGATAGATGTCACAATGCCAGGTAAGGGAGGACCAAAGATAGGAAAACCTCACAAGAGTACTGAGATCAATTACACTGCACCAAGGAGAGGAGCCTGAGGTCTTATGCCCAGCAGAATAAGTGGGGTGACATCAGCTTTGCAGAAGTGGTGGCCACTGGGGTGATGGCACTCCACGAAGCCACAGCAAAGGCAGAGGAGAACGAACTGCAACCCTCCCCCGTTTTGCCTCCCATCTATGCTGCCCTCCTCCTCTGGTTGGAGCTTACCCCCCAAACATCTGGGTTCAAATTCCAGTTCTCAGACTTCGTAGCTGAATGACTTTGCCAAGTCACTTTACCTCTCTGAGCCTCCATACATTTATTCTTCAACATGCATTCATCGTGGCTCTACTATGTGCCAAGCAGCATCCGAGGCACTGCACATGCAGTAGTGAATGAGGTAAAGCCCTACATTGCAAAACTATTCTGGTAGGGGAAGACAGACAACAAGCAGTAGGCAAATGCATAAAGTATTATCTTAGACATCAAGGTGACATATGAATAAATTTCGTAGGTAAAGACTCCTGTAGTCAGGGAGGTCAGGAAAGATCCACCATTGGAGTTGATCTGAAAGGTGAGGAAGAACCAGACAAGTGGACAGAAAAGAAAACAGTGTATGCAAATAGCCAGTGGCAGGAATGGACTTGTGTGTGGTTGGAGAGTAAGTGAGGGAGAGTGGCAGTGGTGAGGCCAATGGCTAGAGCCCTGTAAGCTAAGAGGAGAAGCAATTTATATATTCTATATAGAAGTATGAGGTAAAGGGATGCCACTAAGAGGGCTGAGCTAGAAGGAGTGTGTACAACAATCTGATTTTTCTTTTTAAGAGGCAGAGCCTTACAATGTTGCCCAGGTTGGCCCCAAATCCTTGGGAGTCTGCCTCAGCCTCCCAAGTAGCTGCTTAACAATCTGATCTTTGTTTAGAGAACATCAGCTGTTGTATGAACCCTTTAAGGGGCAAAGTGGCAAGTCTGGTGCCCATTTTCCAGATAAGCTGATGGTACCTGGACCAGATGGCAGGACTGGTGGTGAGAAGTGGTCCCATGCAGCAGAGTTATGGAGGCAAGGCTAGCCTGGCTCATGATGTAGGATGAGGAAGAGAGAAAGAGGAACAGAGAAGGTTTGGACCACTGAGATGGGCGTGGTTGGGAAAAGCAAAGGTAGGGGTAGCGCAAAGGAGTGGGATTTTGGCCGATTGGTATTTGCAGTCCCATTTGACACCCACGTGGAGGTGCGGGGTGGGAAGCTGGCTAGAGTCCGGAACTCACGGAAGTTGTCGATATGGAAATACAAATCCGGGGCTCACAGGCATATCGACGGCATTTAAAACCACGGGTCTGGATGAGATCATCCAGGCAGAGGGTGTAGGTCGAAAGGAAAAGAGGCCCGGGACTGTACTACAGACTGTAAAATAAAGAAAATGACACCTCCACTCACGTGGCTCTCGCGAGGTGTCACGTGAACGCATCCGGCTGCCTCTGAAACCTCCGCTGAGAACCCTGACGGTTACCAGGACGGCGATGGCTTTTGGGGCGGAGCCTTATTGGGGCCGGGCTTGGTCGGGGGCGGAGCTTGCCAGAGGCGGGGCCTCCGAGGAGGGGCCTGGTCGGGGGCGGGATCGAGGTACCGGGTGGCTGCTCTGGGCCCAGGGGAGGGCGGGGCGATGACGTCACCGCATGACTGGGTTTTTATGAATGAAAGGAATCCTGTGAGTGAGTAATTCCGGGAAGCTCGCTTTACAACTCCGTGCAGCTCCGGCCCCCTGAGCCGCCCGCCCCACAACAAAACTCCGCGCGGCGCTCCCTGAAGTCTGGTGCGGTTCGGAGCGGAGGGGAAGACAGACCAGGGCGCGGGCTGGGACAACCACCGCGACAGCCGCCAGGACAGCAGTGAAGGCGCACGCGAGCGAGGGGTCCCAGGCAGGCCTAGCGGGCCGTGAGCGGGTGAGGAGCGCTGTTGAGGGACGGGGATCGGGCGCGGAACCCCCGGGCGGCAGGGTTTCCGCATCTCGAGGTCGTGCCCGGGCTGGTCTCCGGGCCCGCTCCGTCGGTGATCGCATGTTTCCATCGCTAGGACCGGGGGTTGGGGGGGGGAAGGGAAGCAGGTCGGGGTGGGACCGAGACCCGGCCAAAGCCAGAGGGGTGGGGTGGGGGTGGGGACGGGCCCTCCTCCCCCTGGCGCCGGCCGGGGAGCCGCGGAGCCGGGAGGAAGGGGCAGCGCGGGCTGGCGAGCGTCAGCGTCCGCCCAGGCGGGGGCGAGGGCGGTGTTTGCACGTACGTGACTCGGTGAGAACAGTCCCTGGACCGGTGCCCGCTGGCCGTGTGTGCGCGGTTTGTTTACGTCCGAGGGCGGCGGGCGTGCGTGTGTGTTCCCTGGCGAGCGTCCTGGGTATCCTGCCGGGTGCGTGCGCGCGCGGTGTTCCTTGTGCGTGTGTGTCCCCGCCCGCGCGCGCTCCCTAGAGCCTGACACTAGCGGTGTGTACCTTGCAGAGGGTGTGCCCCGGGCGTCCACAGGGGTAAATGCGGAATAAGGACCCGAGTGAAGGAAGCTGTCCAGTCCGTGGTCACACGACACACGGTCTGGAAATTCTCGTCTGGGCTGTTCCCACCAGCTAGGACTGCCTGGCCCCTGCTCTCTCCGGAGTTTCCCAGGGCTGTAGCCATGTGAGCCCAGTGTTTGTCACCCGCCCAGGGCCTGCAACTGAAGCCAAGGAATAGGACAGAGGTATCAAAAACCCCACCCAGCTGAGCTGGGAGTAAGGTGACGGAGCCACCCTTCACGTGGCCCCCTGGTGGATCTGGTAACAAAGTGGGTTGGAGCCCAGGTCCTTGTTTCCAGGTTTTCCGGTCCCCTAGGGAGAACACACCCTTGGGATTTGTTCTTCCCAGCACTGTCTATTCCTTCAGTCTCAGGAGAAAAAGAAAGGGCCAGAGACTTTGAGGTGGAGGTCAGGGTCTGAAGGATCCCAGATTAGTTCCCTCGTGTGTACTCCAGGCTGATCAGGGTTAGAGTCTGCACCTGCTGGGTCCGGAGACGGGGTGGGGTTGGTTGCCACCCTCATGGTAGTTTCAGTTCACAGGTGGGACTAGTTAGACTGGACCTATGCCTGGACTGCTGGACCCCATAGACTGGTTAAGGACTGGACCAGCTGGTAAACCTGAGTCCTCACCCTGGGCCAGGCAGGGTCACCAGGCAAGAGGCATTGGTGGTTTTTTGCACCAAGGATTGATAAATGAGAGACAGGGAAGACCTAGTCCTACCCAGCCATGAACCCTACTGAAAGCACCTGCTTGTCTCAGCAGCCTGAAGGATTCCTTGCTGGGCAAGGAATTTCATGATCCAACTCCAACTTCCCCATCCCATCCTTTCCATAGGGCTATGGAATCACACAGGGGCAACTGAGCTTGCAAGGTGGGGAGCCAATGATCTTTTATCCCCATCTGCAGCAGGAGCCAGTCAACCTTCCAGGTGGCAGGATGGGAGGTGGAATAGGGGAACCATGGGAAAGCGGAGCCAACAGCTAGGCCAGGAGTTAGCTGTGTGTGGAGTCTGAGTAACGGGCGGGGGTGGCAGGAGCACAGGAACCAGAGGAGCCCATCCTCAAGGCTGGGCAGGAAATATCCCCCAATAGGGTTAGGGGTCAGTGGGTGAGGGGAAGTGGCTGGTTGGCTCAGTCGCAGGTGAAAAGTTAGCATTGGAGAGTTCAACCTCCTGTTGACACCCTGCAGGTCCACTAGGGTCCAGGACCCAGCATGGCCGCTAGCGGATACTTTTAGTCTTGCGTTGCCCTTGAGCGCCTGTGGTGGGCTGGATGCTGGGGATGAGATGATGGGCAACCAGATGTGGAGGCTGCCCTGGGAAGGGAGCTTACAGCTGAGCAGGGGAATACAAAGGAGAGCCACAGAACTAAATGCAAAGCCTCCGCTGAGATGTGTGGCATGAGGGGAAGTAACGCTGGCAAAAAAGTATGTAACAGTGTTCGAACTTGGGACAACCACGGACGGTTTCCCTGAGGAGGCAACTAGTGAGCAGAGTCTGGTGGAGTGGTGATTGTCTGTGAAGCCACTGAGAGCAAGGGCTGCAATCCTCCTTTGGTCCTTCAGAGCCCAGCACAGAGCCTGGTGCAGAATAGGTGCTTCTTGAATGTTTGATGATTGAAGAAATGAGTACTGGATCCATGTTGTTGAAGAATGCCATAGCTTGTGAAGGAAAAAGCCTAGGGATGCTGGGAAGTAGAAAGCCAGGTCTTGGGGTATAGGATTCTTGAAGGAGGCTCCCTAAAATGAAAAGGGCCCAGGTGATACCTCATACACACACACACACAGCATGGAGGCCAGCAGTGCAGGGTCTCAAAAGGTGACAATCATGGTCATGATCCCACTGACCCTCTTAGGGTTGGAGCTTCGTAGAGGTAAGCAAGACTAGAGGCCAGTGAGAGCGAGGCGGCTGTGGTCTTGGTGCAGTCAAAAAAGGAAGTGGCCCCTGGCTGTGCAGGTGGAGAAGAGGGGGTGGTCAGGGCTGACAATCCCAGTATTTGTGTTCTCATGCCTTCAGGGAGCCTTCCCTGATTTCCTTTCCCTTCCTTAAATGTTGGTGATCTTGGAGCTCTATTCTGGGGCAGAATCTGACACTCAGCTCAGAGATGTCATTACTGGGTGGTACCTTAGGCTTTAGCACGTTGGGAAACCGAGGCCCAGAGAGAGAGCATGACATGCCTGAAATCACACAGCAAACGTGTGGGTGGCAGAACTGCGCAGCTTGATTCTCCCAGCCTTGCTCCCTTCCAGCAGGGAGGAGGCGCCCCTGTGCTAGCTGCCAAGACCCAGGCAAACACATTTTTTCCCTCTGTCCTCACTGAGCAAGAGGCTGGCTCAGCAGCCAGAGAGGAGCTCAGGCCAGCAGGGGCGGGGTGTCTGTAGGATGTCTCTGGACTGGACTGAGGGGCCAGGGAGGGTGAGCAGGAGGGCTGTGGCCCTGACTGGGTAGCTGTCATCCCCCAGGAATAAGCACACTCTCTGGGCCTCCAAATACAGTTAGGACGCTCAGGCCTGGAGGTCAGCTCTGCCGATTTCCAAGAGATGAGAGGCTGAGAGAGGTGGGGCCCCAGGGCTAGGCAGACTGGTGATGATGGAGGACCCCAGACCCCTGGGCTTGCATCCTAGGAGTCCTGGCCTGCAGCTAGAGACCAAAAGCCTGAGGTGATGAGAAAGTCCCCCCTCCCGTGATGGTCCCTCTTTGACTGGCTGACTGCTGAGCTAGGACATTCCTGGGCAAATGAGGGCCTCTGCTGACTTTTGGGATATAGCTGAGGGCTGAGGAGGCGAAGGCTAGGATGGGGGGCATGGAGAAGAAAAGGAAGAGCAGCTTACAGTCACAGCCAGCGGCAGCCTGGTCTGCAAGAAGGATGACCACCAGTCCCACCCCTTGGGCTGTGTTGAGAAGGATTCTGAAGTCGTGTCCGGGCTCAGTGGAAATCAGTGCTGTGTTGAGAAAGATCCCCGAGGCTGTCTCCCACCTCATTGGGAGTAGGTGCTGTGATTGGTTAGTGATGTCTGTGCCGAGAGCAGAGGGAGGGTGATGTGAGTGGGATGAGCTGTGTGCAATTCCTAGTCTTATCTAAGCAACTGTGTTTTGTACACAAATGCTATTATGATCACCCCCCACTGAAGAGACCATGGCCCAGAGAGGACAGTTGACTTGCGAGAAACCAGGGTGTTCTGCCAACGCTCTGCATTAGGCACAGCACCCTGTAATCAACACCCAGCACCCAACAGGCTCTCAGTTGACCTGCGCAGAGAGAGGCTCCCCTCTCCCATGTGGTCTTTCAGTGGAACCCAGAACACCCAGGCATCACTCACTACCCTGGTTCCCCAAACAGCTGGCAAGGGAGCCTGGATATTTGGTGGCCCTTGCATATCTTATACCTGGCAGGCCTAATGCACATTGGCATATCGGAGCCAGGGGGCTTTGGAGACTGGCAAGTCACAAGGGTGAGGCAACAGAGCCCAGAGAAGAGGCTCTTGCAGGCCTATACTGTGTGGAGGCACATGGCTCAGTGTGTTTTCAGTCCTGGACTCTACCCTGTGCTGGCTCTGTGACCCTGAACTATTGCATTGCCCTCTCTGGGTATTACTTCACAGCACTGTCCGGAGGACCAGGGAGATATCAATGTCAAAGGATCAAGATTCAGCCCTGCACCTTGACAGGTGTTCAGAATTCCTCCCCATCCGCACAGTCAACTGCTGTGTGACTTCAGGCAAGTGGTGTTACTCTCTGGGTCTCTACCTTCTCTTCAGTAAAGTAAGGAGGCAGGGCAAGATGACCTCTAGAGGCCTTTCCTACCGTGACCCTGGCCAGCCCAGAGAAGCTGAGTCAGAACAAGACCAGACTCCCGAACACTCAGCAATTTGAACAACCTCCCAGTGTTCACTGTTCATACGACGTGCTGCCACCAAAACTGTGAGAGGCAGGTATCGCAGTCCCATCCTATAGAGGGGAAAGCAGAGACCCAGAGAGGTGGAGTGGCTCTGCCAAGGTCACACAGCCTGGAGAAAATGAGGATGGGATTCAAACTCGGGCTTGTCTCCCAAGCCAGGCCCTTTCCCTATTTCCCACACCCCACTGGAGCCTCCTTCCTCTCCCTTCGTGTTCTTCTGCATCTGGACGTCTCTACCAAGGGGAAGCCAGGAGGCAGAAGGGAGGAAGAGCTGGAGACAGGGCCATGAGGTTTTTCTCTCAGACGTTATTCCACGGGGTTGGGGCTCGGAACTTGATTGGGACGTTGACCATCTGTGTGATCATGTCAGATGATTCACTCCCTCCTGTTACCCCAAAAATGCATCCTGCCCCTGCCAGGCCCTGAGCTGAGCAGCCTCAAGTGCCTGAGACTGACTCAGCCATCTCGTGGAGGGAGACAAGGAACAAGTCCATTGCAACCCCTGGAGGAGAGGAAGGGGTCATCTAACATGACCTAGGAGTCAGGGAGGGCTTCCTGGAGGAGACATCTGCACCAGGCAGAAGGATGAGCAGGAGTCTGAGAGTTGGGGGAGGAAAAGACAAAAATGTCACCAGGTGGGAGGTGGTCCAGAGACAGGAAAGCGCGGGTGGGAGGAAGTGAAAGAAATTCCTTGTGGCTGAAGGCAGAACGGAGGTGGGGGGGGGTAGGAAATGGGGTGACATTCAAGGCGCTGGACATGCAAGGTCTGACTGCCACATGCACATCTGGACTCTGTCCTCAAGATGGTAGGGAGCCGGCAGAGGCACCATGTCAGATTCACATGGGGGACAGGTCCTGCAGTTGCTGAGGAGCAGATAGGGTGGGTGGGGCAGGTGGCCCTTTAAGAGGCTGCATCACAGGGTGGGTTTGGTGAGGGTAGCTTGTGAATGTCTCCAGGTGGCATCTGTGAAAAGTCAGGCCAGCTGAGAGGTTCCATGTGATTTGTCCAGACAGGTCTGATGCAGGCAGGGCATGGAGGCCCCCAAGGAGAGCTAGGTGAGCAGCCAGGGCCTCAGTCCCTCAGGGGTTGTTGAGACAGATAGAGAAACTGATGCCAGAGCCCAGGATAAGCCTGCATGTTCAGCCATGAGAGCTGTAGCTCAGGAGTGCGCTCTGTGAAGCAGACCCCCTGCCCCACCCAGGATCAACACAGGACATCGAGAACTCTGATTCCTGACCTGGGGCTCAGGCTGCAGCTTTTCCCCAGCCATATCATAAGAAACCTGGTAGGTTTTTATTGTTTTGGCAGTCCTGGGGTTTGTGCTTGCTAGGCAGGTGCTCAGCCACACCCCCAGCCCTTGTTATTTTTGAGACAGGGAGGGGTCTGCTTGAGCCATTTGTGGGGTTGACCTCATGGGTCAGCCCAGCCTCTGACACATCTGGCAGAATGCAGGTATCTCCCACAGACACTGGAGAAATACAGAGTGCACAGACCCAGGCAGTCCTCCAACTTGCTATGTACACCTGGCTGGTCTCAAACTCATGATCATCCTGCCTTAACCTCTCAAGTGCTGGGATTACAGGCTGGCATGGGTGCACCACTACACCCAGGCCTGACAGCTGAGACCCTCCTGGCCCCAGGGCCACTCTGCCAGGGGAATCTCTTGAATTGCCAACTTCCCGTTCCTGTCCCACTCCTTCCTTCCCTTTGAGCTGCCAACCCCCTGACTGTGTGGGCCAGGAGGAGCTGGGGGTTCCTGAGAAGCCATGGACTGTCCCCACCTTGGCCTGAGTCATTCTAGAATTCAACAACTAGCACTTGAGAATCTGTTCTGGCCAGGTACTGTCTAAGTTCTGGGGAGACATGTCTGTGAGTGGCAATGCTTCCATACAGTGAAAGTGCTGTCAAGAAACGTGAGGTAGGGTGGGGCACCAGTGGCCTGAAATCCTAGCTACTTGGGAGGTTGAGATCAGGAGGATCGCAGGTCCAGGCCAGCTTGGGCAAATAGTTCGCAAGACTCTATCTCCAAAATAACCAGAGCAAAATGGACTGGAGGTGTGGCTCAAGTGGTAGAGCACATGCTTTGCAAGCCCAAAGCCCTGAATTCAAATCCCAACCCACCAAAAAAAAAGAAACGTGAGGTAGGGAAAGGGAAACAGGCAGTGTGCATTGTGTGTCTGTGTGTGTGTGTGTGTGTGTGTGTGTGTGTGTGTGAGAGAGAGAGAGAGAGAAAGAGAGAGAGAGAGAGAGAGAGAATATCTAAATTGAGAGAACATGAGATTTGAAGAGAGACCCAACAAAGTTAAGAAGGAAAGTTTGGGGCTATCCTGTAAACAGGAATACCAGGCTGCGCAAAGGCCCCGAGGAGGACACACAGTGCATTTGAGGAAAGACAAGTGCCGAGATGCATTGGATGGTACCTTGTGGCTGTTGTGTGATGATCCGATTTATTCCAAGTGACGCGGGACCCATGGAAGGGTACTGAAAGAGGTGTGATATGACCTGATTAACACCCAACTCTGTCATGGGGAACTGAGGCACAAAGTGGAGCCCCCTCCAAAAGGCCAAAATGTGTTTGGTACCAGGTCTGTGCACTTTGTATTTCTCCAGTGTCTGTGGGAGATACCTGCATTCTGCCAGATGTGTCAGAGGCTGGGCTGACCCATGAGGTCAACCCCACGGATGGCTCCAGAAACCAAGGTCTGGCCCTGGCTTTTGCCCCCTGCTCTCTATCAGTCTGGGCATTGTTAATGACAATTCATAGGATGCTACTCCTTCCTTAGCTCCTTCTTCCTTCTTTGCTCCTCACCACCCTCCCCTCCCCAGGGGGGTTGTTAGATGAGGAAACTGGGGCTTACAGTGAAGGGGGTAGAAGATCAGATCAGCTGGGGACAGAGAGGTCCCTTCAAAGGTCCTTTGAGACATGGCTCTCTTCTAGCCCAGAGCAATGACCATTGACCCCCAAATGTCCCTTCCATGAGTTTTTATTCACCTCTACCTCCCTAGTGCCAAGCACATTGCTGGCAAACAGCTGGTCAACAAATAGTTGTTGAAGGAATATGAGGCTTTCAGCCTGTGGGGGAGGAAGCCCCCACAGTGCTTCATCAGTCCAGGAAAGGCTGCCCCACCTGCCTAGGCCAAGCTAGGCAAACCCCACTGCTAGACAACCCAGGCAGTTTGGAAGTCTTCCCAAAACACAGTTGAGGATGAGGGCAACTTGGGAGGGGACTGAGAGGCTGGTCCTTGATTGGATGCCGGCTGGACTTTAGGATGTCATTAACCTGTACATAGGTTTCGTGCACTTCTCTGTATGTAGGTTATACTTTAATGAAAAGCTAAAAGAAAAAAGGCAAAACAAAACATCAGATCTAAAACTTGGGCCAAGCATGGTGGTTCAGACCTGTAATCCCAACATTCAAGAGGTAGAGGTGGGAGGATTGAGAGTTCAAGGCCAGACTGGGCTACATAGAAAGACCCTGTCTTTAAAAATAAATAAATAAACTATGTTCTGGCCCCAGGTGGAGGGAGGGGCATCCACTCATTTGGTGCATATTTATTGAGCACCAACTGCATGCCAGGCACTGATTAGGCATAATGGTGCATAGTAAGACAGGCAATGCCTCTGCCTCATGGACTTACATTTTGGTGGAGGGGTGGGAGGGACAGACAAACCATAAACCAGGAGGGAAGCAGACAAGAATTGCAGAAGAGTTGACATATGAGGGCTAGTAAATGGGGTTGGTGATGTGACATAGGAGGTGGCACTGGGTAGAGACAGGGGTGATGCAGCCTCACCAGGGGAAGATAGAATAGTAAAGGGGGCAGCAAGTGCAGAGCCCTGAGGCTCACCACACAATTTAAGGAGGCCACAGTGCTGGACCACTGTGGTCAGAGGAAGGTACTAGGCATAAATTCTGAGACGGGCCTTCAATGCCAACGTGTGGAGTGCGGATTTCACTCTAAGTGGGGGAAAACCCAGAGGAACCAAAGTGACTGTGAGCACCTTTCTGCCCTAGGTCTGCAGGCCAGAGGGCACCTTGTGCAAACATGTCTGGGGATGCCTTGTCCAACAAAGCCCTGAAGGTGAGGAGTCCTGCTGTGGTCCCCAAGGTCCCCTTTCCCAATCAGAGCCTCCACGCCCGGACTTCCCCTCCAGTTCCCGAATCCCCAGTGGCAGCTCAGCGCCACTGGGCCTGCTTCCCCATTTGAAGGTGCTTTCCGGGCTGGGTTTCTCTGGCCGAGTCCAGGACTTGACGCTTGGTTAGATTTCCACGAGCCCTGGGGTGGCCTCCTTTGGTGTGCCGACCCTGGTTTGCGCTGGTTTCCCCTTTCCGGATTCCCGCTCACCTTGTGGGCGCTGGATCAAGTCCAGCAACCACCTCGGTGGCCAAGGTGGTGGCTGGGGAGCACTGGGGTAGAGGGGAGCGGTCCCCAGCAGGGGCCGCGCGCCAGCCCAGGACTCGGGACCCCAGACCTCAGTTTCCCCACGCCCGCAGGTCAAGCGCGAGCTGAGCGAGAACACGCCGCACCTGTCAGACGAGGCGCTGATGGGGCTGTCGGTGCGCGAGCTGAACCGGAACCTGCGCGGGCTCTCGGCGGAGGAGGTCACGCGGCTCAAGCAGCGGCGCCGCACGCTCAAGAACCGCGGCTACGCGGCCAGCTGCCGCGTGAAGCGCGTGTGCCAGAAGGAGGAGCTGCAGAAGCAGAAGTCGGAGCTGGAGCGCGAGGTGGACAAGCTGGCGCGCGAGAACGCCGCCATGCGCCTGGAGCTCGACGCGCTGCGCGGCAAGTGCGAGGCGCTGCAGGGCTTCGCGCGCTCCGTGGCCGCCGCCCGTGGGCCTGCTGCGCTCGTGGCGCCCGCTAGCGTCATCACCATCGTTAAGTCCGCGCCTGGTCCTGGGTCTGGCTCCGCCCCCAGCCCGGACCCGGCCCCCGCCGGCTGCTCCTAGTGTCCGCTTGGCCCCGCCCCCTTCCCAAGCCACGCCCCTCCGAGCCCCCACCCACCCAAAGTGCCTAAGCGCTGACTCGGCCCCCAAGTCCTATTTCTCTGCGGCCACCAACCTCTGTGGTGAGCACACACATTTCCTTCCCGGGCTCGATCTTCCTCTTGCAGCCCCCCAAACTGGGACCTTATGGCCCTGGGGAGGGGCAACTTGGTTAGGTTGGTGGGGCGTCTGGAGCCAGGGGCCCTGGCTCCCAGCCTTCTGAAATCAGGAGGAATGGGACATGGAACCGACTCAGAGAAAAGCTGTCAGGAGAAGGGGAAGGAGGGCATGCCTCATTTTGGAATTGCTAGGATTGTGCCAGTACAAGGATTCAGAACTAGATCTGGCACTGTCTGTAAAGTAAGGGGCTGTCCTGCTGGCTCACTGAAGACACCTCCCACCTCTGCTTTGGGCCTGTGAGTGTTGGGCTTCACAAAGCTAAGAGGAGCCTTAGGGCCAGTAAAGCCCAGTGAACAGGTGAGGAAGCTGTCCAGCATACAGGACTGTTCCAAAAAGCCACATGTCACTTAGGGTGGAGCTGGAACGAAAAGCCAGGCCTTCTCACTACTGCCTCTTTAAGATTCCGGCCATGGATTTCAGGGGATCAGTGGGACTGAAAAAAATGTAGGAGGGCCTCCCTGGCCCGACAACAGCTCTCTGCAAGGCAGGTGAAGAGAAGTAGAGGGAGAGAGAAGGTGACACAGGAGGAGGAGAGGGAAGGAACTGGCCTGGCTCAACCCTGGGCTCTCCCTGTAGTCAGGGAGTCCGGGACCTGGCCAAAGAGAAAGGGAATAATGGAGGTGACCCCTGTGATGGGAAGACAAAGAGACAGAGCCTGCAGTCCCAAAGCCAGGAGTAGGGGTCCTTGGAAATAAGGACTCCACTCAACCTTTGAGTGTCCCCTGTGCGGTAGGGGCTGACCACTGCCATTGATTGCCCTTCTCCTGGGAAGCCCGCCCCTCCCCCAAACACTGTACACAGCTGCTCCTCCCCACTGTTTATTTATTGCACGAATCTAAGTTATTCTCCCCAGCCAGAGCCCAGCTCCTGCTCCCTGGCTGGGCTCTGAGCTGGGCTTTATATTTTATAACTGCAAATAAATCACATTTTATCTTATATTTAGGGAAAGCCGGGTGGCAACCACAAAAAGTTTTTAAAAAACTGCCCGGCTCCCAGAATTTATTTATTTTCTGACCTACAGTGAGCCAGTTATCTGCCTTGTGTATTTTGTAGACTTTCTGAATAAAGTCAAATTCTTTTTCCACAGACAAGTATATGTCCTGGGTTCTGTTTTGTGTGTGTTCTGAATGAGTGGCCAGAGATGGGTGGTCAGTACCCTGTGGTGGGTGGGGAGGCTGTGCCCCTTTCACTGGCTCTTGCCCATGGGGATGAGTGGAGACAGCATGAGGAAGGATGGTGCTGAAATTTCATCCTGCCTGGGACTGTGGAGAGCCCAGAAGCCTCCCTGGGGTAGGGTTCAGTTCCCTGGGCACCCTTCAGGGAATGCACAGTCTCACCCAGGGAGAAAAAGTACTGGATTTCAGAGTAAATCTTTATAGCACTTTCCCCTGAGTCTGATTTTCTACAGTCAAGGTGGAAATATTTTCCTTTTGCTTTAGAAGGCCCAGGGAGGAAGGCAGAGAGAGAAATGGCTTCCTCAGTTCGTCTGCAGGTCCCAGTCTTAAGCTGAGATCTCATCCTGTCACTCATGACAAGCCTCTCTCTGCCAGGTCTCAGGGCCCAGGAAGAAGAGTGAAGACTGCGGTCTTTAGTCAGGGACATCAGGGTTTAAATCCAAATGTGCATTTTCCTAGCTGTGGCCTGGGTTTACCTGTTTGTAAAATAAAGGTGCTATAGGGCACAGGCGAGAAGGATAGTGGGGCCTAAAGGGTGCAAGCTTTAATGGAGAATAAATGTTTACGATTACACACTCCCGGGGTGAGGACCATGTGTGGTTAGGCAGGGAGGGATGGCGAGGCCAGGGAAGGGGCAGGATTGGAGTGGGGGAAACAGCGAAACCACATGGCTTGCCGGGCCTTCAAACACTTCTCCCCCCTCAGGCTGGGACTCTGTCAGAGCTTCATCCTGAAATGCTGAGCTCAGGCCTTGGGCATGGGCAGCAGGAGGCAGCCGGAGGGACAAGAGGGCCATTTACTTCCAGGTTGCAGCCTGGCTGGGAAATTCTCCGCCCTCGCGGCATTCCTGGGCACTCAGTCAGCAGCCGGTCAGGCCCCACAAAGGCATGTGGGTGGAGGGACGGTGCCCATGGCCCAGTATCCTTGCCCCAGGCTTCCTGTCTCCTAGGGTCCCAGGATGGAGGGTGGGCTCCAGAAGGCAAGGAGGATCTCCTGAGGTCTCCCCCGCCCCACCCCAGGACATGGCCTGCAGAATAGTCTCCATCTACACAGCTGACAGAATGGGGAACAAGGTATCAACCCACTACATGCAGGCCCTGTGGGGTGGGGAGAGCATCTTGTGACAAACTGGTTGGGAAAGGGGGAGCCCCTTTGTCTAATGGGGGACCTGGAACGTAATTTTTGTCTCTGGCAATATGAACTTCTCCTCCCAAGGCCTATACTATGTGTCAAACACGAGAGAGTGGACACCCCTGCTTACCACCAGTACACCCAACCCTACCCCCAAACACAAGGAAAGGACAAAGTGTCACCCACAAGCAGAAGAGATTTCAATACAATCTATATTATCTCATATATATATATATATATATATGTATATATATGAGATTATATATATATATATATATATATATATCTTCCTCACTTTATTTGCTCACTTGTCACGCATTTAAAATGTCACAGAGACCAAAATAGAGCGGCTTTCTGGTGGAACTCATGGCAGTCATACGACAAGATATAAAACTAGGGACTCCGTCTTCTCATACATGATACAATTAACTTTTCAAGTATTTTTTATGTACAAAGAGCTACTCTATCTGGAAAAGAAAGAGAAGGTAGGTTATGCATCCTAGGAAGGAGGAGGGGATGGAGCAGGAGGGCACAGGTTCTGTCCCCCCTGCCCCCAGGGACCACTGGTTCCTGCCACTGAGCTCCCCCCAGCCCTACCCACCATGTTAGTGGGCAAGCGCCAGGGCAGGTGGAGACCAAGGGAAGCAGGAATCAGCAACACACTTTGGCCTGGAAGGAGAAAGGAAAACAAGTCAGAGAAACAGATTTGTGAGCGCAAATGTGGCAGGAAGCCAGGGCTACTCCCCAAACAGCCTGAACCTGTCAGTGCCCTCCTGGTAGCTTGGGACCAGCTGGCCAGCCCTACCCCCCAGATGGGGCCAGAAGGAGACATGCCATGTGCAGGCCTCCTGGATGTAAGGCAGGAAGCTGGGAAAGTTGCTGGGGTGCAACTGCACCATGAGGACCTTCCTTGGAGATCCCAGGAAGAGCCTGGTCATTCTAGGAGCAACCAAAAGAAAGCTTCCAGTGAAGGTCACAGGCAGAGCATATCCTTCTTCCACCTTATCCACTTCTCCAGGCTACTACAGCCCAAACTTAAGTACTGTCTGGGCTCCCCATGCCAGAACACCCTGCCTATAGGAACATTTGTTGCCTTGGGGGCTCTTCCTAGGGCATGAGCCCACCTGCCTAGGGGTTCCAGCCCTGGAGGAGACTCTGGGAATAAGAGGAAGGAACAGGTGGTCCCAGCCACTCCTGAGGCATAAGGGCACCTGGCCCAGTGCTGCAAGATCCTGAGTGCCAGCAACTTAACGAGACACCCTCAGGGTGTCTGGGACAGACTAGGGGCTAGGGAGGGGGCTTTCATGTATGACTAAGGCACAGAAGAGATCAGCTAGGGGACCAGACAAGGCAGAACACCAGGCCCTATGTGGGCAGGGAACCCGGGAGGTGTCTGGGACCACCCCTCTCACCTCTGGCCCCCCACTGCATGGCCGTCCCTCCTGGCCTCCCCTAGGGGCTGGTCTGAAATCTGAAGACTTAGACATTCTCCCTGTAACGGGAGGGAGGAGCCCCCAGGAGAGGCAGGACCAGCAGAGGTTGCTGACTGCTCTGAGTAGGGAGGAGGGTAGGTGTCCCCTGAGCCCTGGAGCAGCCAGGAAGCCAGGGCTTTGCCCCAGTCTCTATCAAGAGCAGGACACAAGTGTGGGCAGGCTGCTGGCTGTCCTTAGCAGGCCAGGAGGAAGGGGCTGGAAGTGGGCAGAGTGGCCACAGCAAGGGCACCCAGGAGCACAGCACCTCCTGCTTCACTAGGCAAAGGTCCAGAGGCACGAGTCCCTTCCTAGCTGGGACCCCGGTGTCTGGCTTTGATCTATGCAGCATGCCAGGCAGGCCTGGGTTAGGAGGGAAGCCCACAGAGTGCCTGTGTTCCTTCCTCTTGCCTGGAGTGAGGCAAATCTAGCATTGGACAAAGGCGGGAAGGGGGAGCAGGCAGGGAAGAGCCCAGGTTGGGGTACTGCACGGCGTGGGCAGTGGGCTGGGTCCAAGGGCCTCAGCTCTGGTAGGAAGGGGGTTTAAAAGGCTGCAGCAGGTGACCCACACAGGCATTTGGGCCTCGGTATGGCTGGTCCCAGCATGACCCCAGCATAGGACAGGCTGCAGGGGCATGAGTGCTGCAACCAGTGTCCTCTGCCCCTGGCCTGGGCAGTGCAGGGTTGGCCCTGTCTGTATACATATTCCTGAAGGCCCATGGGTGAGCCTGGGCTATCGCCAAGGGCAGGCAGCACCTGCCCGTTCCTCTGGAAGTGGTATTTTTCTGGTCCAATAAATAAAAAACAGTGGCAAAGCTGTGCCAGCTGCCTCCTGGCCTGGCTGTGAGGCCAGAGGAGGACACTGCCTGCTCCTCTCAAAGTGCAGCTCCTTCCCCATCTATGCCTGTGCCTAAAACTCATCATCAGAGCTCAGCAGGAGAGTTTTCTCGTTGTCTCGGGCACCACCGAGGCTGTGGGAGCGAGACAGGCTGTGGGCACTGCCACGCCAGGTAGGCCCGGGCTCCAGTGTGGACTGCTGAGTGTACTGCTGGTAGGCGGGGGAAAAGTTGTGGATGGCATCCTGAACGATGTCATGGGGGTTCATGGTCTCTTTGAGGCTGCTGGAGATGCTCTTCATGGGGGCGCAGCGGCCTGCGGGGAGAAGGCAGGGGGTGGGGTGGGGGCCAGGGCTGCAGAAGGGAAGGCTGTTCAGCCCCTGCCCCTAGTCCTGGGTCAGATCCCCATCCTAAGGCTGTCATTCAGCCATCCTCTCCTGGGATGGAGAACAGGTCCAGTACATGAGAAGGGGAAGGAAAGAAGCGATTCCCTGGGGAACAGGAGTGGAGAGCGAGCAACCAGGGAGTCCCAGGTGGGTGTGTGTGGTGGAGGTGGGGGTGGGGAGCAGAGGTCAACCACCACTGGGAGCTGAGATGCGCAGGCAGGAAGGGACCCAGGTAGAAAGTGGCAAGCTGTGGCAATGTGCCCAGGCTCACAGAGCCACGCTCCCACCTGGGGAAGGCTCCTTTCGTGTGAGAAGCAGACCAGATACCCATCAGAACCAGGCTGGCCCACTTTGAGATGGTGGGGGCTCTCTGCTCTGATATGCTTTCTTCTAATTTCCTCTAAGATGCATCCCATGGGCTCCAAGGGAAGAAATGGCCCAGGCTACTAAGCCAAGCTGTAGGGGATGAGCCCAACTCTGGACCCAGGACTTCTGACTCAGACTTTAGTCTTTCCACCCTCTGTGTTCTCAGCCACGGAAGCATCACTAACTGTCCTGCTATCCCACTAATGGGCACTGTGCCCTAGATCCAAGCAGGGCATATGCTAGGAGAGACCAGGATGAAAGCAGGCAAGCTGTATGAAGGGCAGCCTTTGGCAAGCAGGCCCTCTGAATTCTCCCACCCAGGGTGGTGGGGGTGCATGTGGGGCAGAGACAGGAACACAGAGGAACTACAGAGAGGCATGCCGGTGAGTGACCAGAACTGACGTGCATGACAGACGTGCAGGGATGGGGGACCTACCGTAAGGACCGTATGTTGGCACTGCCCGCGGCCAAACCCGGGGCAAATGCAGGGCAAAGGGATGGGAGAAGCCGGAGAGATAGAGAAGACAAGAGACAGCTGAGTGAACAATAACTACCCACCCTAGACCCTGGCTGACACCACACCTTCCCTCCCCCCAGCCCCAGGCAACTGGGCCACTCTGGCTGCCCCTTAACACCAGTGAGACATCTGCCTACAGACAACTAATCCCACAGTGGTCATGCTAACAATGGTCATCCTGACTGGTGGGAAGAGTTCGACCTTCACATTTATACCAGGACACCCCACCCCCAACTTCTTCCAGATGTGACAGAAGCTGTCTGCATGAAGCCCTGGCTTTATAAACCTCACTACATTTCGCAACTGGGGAAATGGAGGCTCAGAGGGGGGAATCACACAGCAGAGAGTTTTGTACCCAGCATATTGAGAGGCTGGGTGGGACTGGGAGCCTTGAACCAGTAGGGAGGTAGGCACGGGCCCGTAGCAGCTGGGCTACATTGTAGGCCATGGTATTTCTTCCTTGGGCAGGTGTGTCTGGAGCAGTGTGTGGAAAGATGGTCCAGACCTGAGGCAAGGAGCCTCCACAGAGCCCCAGAAGGATAGAAATGGGTTTCTGCCACAGCCCAGCCTACAGCTTGGGGAGGCGGGAAGGGGTCCAGCTCCAGGCCCAAAGGTGGTGTTCCTATGGGCAGAGGCTCTGCCAAACCAAGGGATACAACCCTCAACACTGGGTGGGTGTTTGTCAGATCATTTTTGCTGGGGGCCTGGAGTGGGCAGGTGGGGCACCAGCCAGCCAGCCTCTGTAGGCAGAGGATGGGGCACAGAGTAGGTGTACTATCAAAGACCAAAGCAGCAATTCAGAGCCTGGCCAGCAGGTGTGCCAGGAGGACAAAGTACAGCAGAAGCATCTTAAGGCCACTTTCCAACCTGGGCAGGAACAGTGAAGGTAGTGGGCTGGGAAGCCCTGTGATTGCATGTCACTGCTACCCTCCACACTACTCACAGAGGCCTGTGGTGGGCATCTGGGCCTGAGGAAGTGGTTTTCTTGCCTCCAGTCACTTAGGAAAAGCTGACAGCGATGGGTCTACTGGGCAGATGCCTTTGACAGCAAGTTCCCTTCTTTCCAGCCCTTTTGGCCTCTCACTGGGTAGGTCAGCCTGGGGTACTTCTTGCTTCTTCCTCCTCCTGAAACAAACCCTCCACCTTCCTACCCACTACTTCTCCAGGCTCCTTCCAATACCCAATTACCAGGAAGCTCTGAAAGCCCAGATCAATCACAAGAAGCTCCCAGGGTGGGGGCCACACCCCATTAAAACCTTCCCGGCATTCTCAAGTACAGCTGGGGCTGCTAACCATTGTTCTAACAAGGAAGATTAGAAGTATAAAGAGAAGGCTGTTAAGAGCTATTACAATCCGGCTCTTATAAACAGGGTTGGGTTTTTTTTATTATTATTTTGATATGGAGGCTCCTGAACTATTTGCCGGGGCTGACTTGATCCTCCCAATCTCAGCCTCCCACATAGCTGGGATTATAGGCATGAGTCACAGGCACCCAGCTGGTTTTCTTTTTTTTTTTAAGAACTTTAGAAAGCATGCCTGTAATCCCAGTACTCAGGAAACTGATGCAGAAGGATTGCAAGTTCTAGGACAGTCTGAGTTACACATCAAGTCCATCTTAAATAAAAATAAAAACAAAAAAGGATAGACACTGCAACCCGCTGTAAGAGACAGATAAGTTTAGCTTCCAGAACTAAATCAGTAGTTCTGGGTCTGCCACTACCCTACCACCACCGTGGTCCCTCTCACAAATATAGACAGGGGTCAACGCCTGTAGGATGCTGGGAAGGAGGTGCTCTGGAGCTCCTCCCATTGGGATTGTGTCCAGGAGCCTGGCTCCTACCTTGTGCGTCAAGCCTCTTGTCAGCATAGACCTTGTAGGTAAAGGCGTGCCTCAGGGCCAGGGCTGCAAAGAACATCTCCACACAGATGATGAAGTCCTGGTATCCAGCAGCCACAGTGCCCTCGCCCACAGACACGCGGGCCGAGTGGATCTTGGGGATGGCCCCACATTTCTCCAGGATGGCCAGCAGCATGCCTGGACAGAAAGGCACAGTCTGGCCCCAGGCTGGATCCCTTCCAGGCTCCCTTCTCCATGGGACCCCACCCAGATGCCCACACACCACAGTGAGGTCAGAAGTGGCCCATCTGCTCCTGTAGCACAGGAATGGTAACACAAAGCCAAAGCCAAAGCCTCTGGAAACCCCACTCTCCCAGATCCTTGCCAGTCACGAAACAGAGATATCACCAATTATGTGGAGTCTCCTGGGTCCCCCATCCAAGAGATCTCCATCAAAGAGCCCCAAAGCCTCATCCCTCCCAAATGCCTAGTGGCAGAGGCCCCTGTGAACTCCAGGCTGGGATCCCCCAGGACAATCCTGTGGCCTGAACCCCTAGTCCCAGGGGCACAGGCAGGAGGGAGGGGATGGGGCTCGAAGGATAGGGCATGTCAAAGCCTCCCAAGGCTGGGAGGAGGCTAACCTTGCCAGAAGGAGAGGAAGATGACGGACTTGACCATGAGGAACTTGAGGACAGGCCTGTAGGGACTGAGCAGCTCCCGTGTGGCAAAGTGGAAGAGGAAGAGGGCGTAAAGGGCCAGGCTGACAGAGATGTTGTAGACGATGGTCACATACAGGTAGCCACTGGTGACGCTGTGGGACAGGCACGCTCTGGCTGGGACCAGCCCTGAACAGGGCAAGGCATTCCCTCCTCTGCCCTGCCCACACAGGCTCCCCCACAGCTCTGGGCTGTGCTGCTCAGCAGGTGCAATTAGCCACTAGAAGGAGGGGGACAGGGTTCGAGGGACACAGCTGGAGAGTGGGGCAGGGCTGTGTGCCTGTATGCAGGCTGGCTCTCTGTGCTGTATTCACACAGTGTCCTTGTTCTGGGACTCACTCCTGGTGGAGGACACTGGCAGGAAAGCCAGGAAGGCCACAGCTTGATGGTCAGGTGACAGTGTCACAGTGTGGGTGACCCTGAGCTTGCTCTACTCTTGTGCAGATGAGTTACCTTCCATTTGACCTCAGCCTGCTCACCTGCTCAGGCAGGGCTGTGGGGCAGGTTGCAGGCAGTACATACGAAGGCTCGTAAGCACAGGGCCAGGCTGGTGACCACTTTTGCTAACCCTCAAAAGAAATGTGTGTGGACAACTTACATGATGGGGACTTTACAGCTGGGGACTGGCTAGTTGTTGGGCTCTTTCCCTCTTGCTCCCTGCCTAGACACTAATCATCACCCCTCTGTGGCTCACTCATGGGCACTGCTGTGCAGCCTACATGGGAACATGAGTATAGCCAAGGGCTCACTCCACTGACATTGGGACCAAGTACAAAGGGTGGCCACTGCCAGGCTCAGACTCAGATATGCAGAGAGGCATGAGCACCAGAAAGCTCAGGAAGGTCACAGTCATGGGGCCTGTCTGGCTGCAACCAGCCCTGAGCCAACACTCCCCCACATGCCTTGAGGGAAGACCTGCTACTTACTCGAAGTCCCCATCCCGGTACTTGCCGAAGGCCTGGAGGACCACAGTGCTAACGGCCATGAGTGGCTTTACCACGCAGAACTGCAGGGTGGCCTGTTTGGGGAAAGAAAGGACAAGGTCGAGGATAAGCACATATAAAGCACCTCCTTGGAGCCTATATTGGACATTGGAGACAGGGCAGAAGGCTCCATGTCCTGCCCCAAGGGGACTGCCACCTGCAGGAGGAGGCAGACTATGTGGGAGACAATAAGTAAGCAATGCAGCTGTGTAAGGAGACATGGGATGTCAGGAAAAGAAGAACCAACAGTGGACCAGGAGGTGGAAGAAAGCTCAGAGGAGAAGGGCCCATAGGGACAGTGCTTGGAGACAATGGAGGACAGACTCCCAATTCAGGGAAAGAGAGCACCTCCTACAAAGGCCCAGAGGCAGAGTGGAGAAGTGCAGGGGTTGCACTGGGAAGGGGCTATAGCACGGAGGAGGCTGGGGAGACCAGCAACCAGGTCCTGAAGGCTCAGTGTTCTGGGTAAGGCCAGGCCCTGCTAAGGAACTGACAAGGGGATTAGGTGGGTGAGTGCTGCCTTCCATACTCTCGTCCACCCTGTCTGGTTCCTTGCCCTGTGCTCTGAATCTGGGGCCAGGGTTTCTTCTGAGCTGCAGTCTGACAGGGGCTGGAGATAGTGTAGAGAATCAGCAAGGAGGGAAGAGAGGAGGCCCAAATACATGGCTTTGGAGTCCTAAAAGCTGAGATTGAATTAAGGCTGGCTGACTACTTGCTGCAGTGGCTCGGGCAATCACTCAGCCTCTGGTGGCAGCCACCCTGGTGAATAGACATAAGCAGTTCCTGTAACACAGGGTCAGTGGTGTGGAACAGTAAAGCCAGATAGCAGTGTCCTCCAGGAGCACTCAGCACTGTCTTCTGCGAGCTTGCTCAGACACTAAAGGACAGCCTTGGCTGGGCTTCCATGGTCCCTGTAAACTCAAGGGTTGTCCATGGTACCCACGGAATCCCGAGACTCACCACCCTCCTGAAAGCAAATCAACCTAAGCTACAGACCCCTTGTGGGGAGGAGGGTGTGAGTGAAACCCAAGCAGAGTGGCTCCAAATGGTACAAGGAGTGGAGTGGAGAGAGCAGCCCAGGACACCTTTCCTCCCCACAGAAGACTGGGCCAGGCCTGTGGTGAGCCCAGGTGACTCATGCTGTGATCTGCTGCAGGAAAGGTGCATGTGATGGACCAGAAAGCCCCACAGAACTTCCCTGACCCTGAAACCCTGCCCAGAAGAAGTAAATCCTGCACCCTCTGGGGAAAAGGGAAGAGCAGAAGTTCACATGAGATGTGTGGTGAGAGGACTAGATGGTGCTTCCCTGAGATGTGAGAATTTTCATTACCCTCAGTTAAAGATGAAGAAACTGAGGCACAGAAAAGCTGAAGTGGCAGATGTGGCACAGCACCCCAAGCCAGGGGATCCCAGAGCTATCAGCCAATCACACCTTGATTCACCTTGAATCACACCTGGCACAGTTCCCGTACCAGGCTGGACACTAGAATCATGTGCCAGTTCCAGAGTAGGTGGTTCCATTTGAGACCTCAGTCACTAGTCTGGGAATCTTTTGTTTAAGAGGTGTGAGGGATTAAACCCAAGACCTGCCACACGCTGGGCCAGAGCTCTACCACTAAGTCACACTCAGCAGAATCTGTACTAGGAATTGCTACTTTTAACAAACACTTCAGGAGGCTCAGACATTGGGGTCTGGCCCCAAGGATGTCTAGGCTGCCTCTGTGGCTCTGGGATGAAGCTGTGGGTGCTCTCCTGCCAGGGGAAAGAACCAAGAACCTTTATTCTCTTTCCTCTCACTACCTTTTCCTGCCGTGTTCAGGTTCAACAGCAGAGCATCTGAGCCCACAGGGCTGGGGAATAATTTATAACATAGTGATGTAGCTCTTGATCATGAGATCAAAACTTTGTGGACAATATAATGATCAAACAAGGCTGTGAGTCACAGCTGGCCTGGAACCTGGTGGCTGAACCACTGTAAACAATGGCTCTTCATGCTGCGCCCTGAGCCCTAGGCCAGGGCAGCTTTAACTCCTTCCCTGCTGCTCCAGGGGGAATTATAAATGATCCCCAGGAGGGACGATCTGGAAGCAGGGCTGCAGCCTTGTCTATCCAGGTGGAGATTTTGTGGCTGGGTCACATTGTGAGCCTAGGATTCACACAGAAGTGAGCAGCAGGGCTGCTGTCTACAGTGCCACACCTTGACTGTGGCTTTTGTTTCCCCTTTTCACTACTTGACCATGAGGGAGGGGCTGACAGAGGCCCTGTGGAAGCCAACGACAGTCATGAAAATTGGATGTGTCACCGTCAAACTACCTTCCTGAACAAGCCAGTGCTGTGTTAAAGGCTTAGAGCAGTTACCTCATCTGTTCTTTATCTGTTCTCACCCCTTGAGGTTAAGTATCATTGTGCCCCTTTGACAGAAAAGCAAACTAAAGCTCTGAGAGGTTAAATAAATTATCTGAGGTCATAATCAGAGGAGAAGCTGAAAGTCAAACTCATGATGGTCAGGTGCCTAGGCCCAGGCACTCAATGCCATCACCATATCACATCTAGCCAGGCACTAGTGGCCAAGGAAACCCCAGATGGCCTGCCCCGAAGAGGTCTGCACAGGCCTATCTGTTGTATGTCTTTAAGGCTGAAACCCTCCTGCCCCCAACTGATGACTTTTCAAACTGAGATTCTAGAATCCCCACACACTTCCTCTGATTCTCATAGGCACAGAGATTTGGTCAAATGAGCAAGAGCCTGGAAACAGCTCATTTGGGCCGATACCCCTGAAGGCCATCACTGTCTGAGCACATGTTGCTGATGCAATGCCTTCCCAACAGCTTAGGAGTAGGTAGTGGGGGGCTGGGGACCTCGGGCCCAGGGCAGCCTACAGCAGGGTTCTCCCTCCAGGTCCACAGCCTGCTCTTTCTGCCCTGGCAGTAGTGGGCACGCACCTGTTTGCAGAAGCGAAGGAATCCAATGGAGTAGGTCTTGCCCCAGAGGCAGCACGTGCCATACATACAGCTGGACCTGGAAGGCGAGCACAGGAGACAGGCAGCTGAGTGGGAAAAGGGGCTGTGGAAGGCCACCCTCCCTCACATCAGAGAAACTGGGGGCATACCTAAGGCCAAGGCCAGGGAGAGGAAGGTTACCATGTCTTCATGAGGCCACAAGGGAAGCAGAGCCACCCTGGCCTTAGGGTAACAAACCAATTCAGAAGCACTGAGTATAAAACAGAGAGACCCTCTCAGGAGTCCAGAGGAATGGCCTTGCTCAAGAAGTATGCGAGAGACACAGCAGGTCCAGGTCACGGGCTAACACCAGAATAGCTGGACGACTGTCAGGCCCAGGAGTGGGGCTCAGGGAAATGTCATACTCACTCGATGGCCTTCCCTCTGATCTCTGACATGATGGAGCTCTCTCCCCCGAGGTACTCATAGCACAGGCTCAGAAAATTATAGATGACCAAGGCTGTGAAAAGGTCCAGAGAAACCACTCAACCTAGCAGAATGGGCACACAGCTGGTGATCCAAACCACGGAAAGTGGAAGAGCCACAGCCACACGCAGCACCAGGGAGGAGCCACGGGACATGAAGTTGTGCAAATGAGGCCTGCAGTTAGCATCCCACTTGTAAGTTCAAAACCAGGCACAAAGCAATCATTTAGTGTGAGCAGGCAGAACTCTGTGGTGGTAATACCCCAAAGGACAGCAAAGGCGATCCCCAAGTTCAGAATCGTCTGGGGAGGCTGAGAACAGTAGGCACTGGGCTCTTGGGAGGGCTGCCAGTGTGTTCACTATGGGGTGAAATGTTATTGATTTGATTATTACTTATTAGTTTTGTTCACCTGTTTGTCCATTACAGATCACAATTTTATACCAAGACAATGATGCTGGGATCTCAGGAGAAATTCTAAGCAAGGGGGACACAACTTGTTTCCATTCCACGAGCCCCAGTGGTATGTGGTGTGTGCACAACGCTGTAATATACAAGAGAACAAGAGAAGTGCACAGAATCTAGCACAAATGTCTTTGGAAGTTTAGTCACAGCTCATTCTGAATCAGGACATAGCTGAATACTGCCATAAAGACCACAAATTTGCAAGAATGAACGACAGCCTGGTAGAGTATGCTATAAATGCTGATACCAGAATTCAGTGACAGGCTGTGAGGAGTCTGCCTGTTTTGGGGTTCCTGCCAGGCAGAACTCCCAGGGCTGCTGCCCACAGGGTGCCAGCATCTAGAAAGGAGAGCGAGTGAGGGAGAATTCAGAGGGCACTGCAGAGGGAACCATGAAGGGAACACAGAGGCGCAGCCAGGCTGAGGACATGGAAATGGGGACAGTATTTATCAAAGAACAAGGCCAAGGGCCAGAGGCTAAGGGGGAGAAGGGACCCATTGCAGCCCTGCAGCTAGAGGGCCCCTTCCCACCTGACCCCACCACTACCACAGCAGAATCTTTGAGGCTCTTCTGGGGCTGCTTGGCTTGGAAGAGGGGCTCTTTCAATGGTGACTTGGCCTCCCCAGTGCCACAGAGAGCTGGTTTCACCCTCACAGCAGGTTCTACACCCTCTGTGACTTTGCACTGCCTGGGGTCCCCTCTCTCTGTGCTCCTGGGACACTGCGCCTCAGCTTAAGCCTCCAGTGGCTGACACAGAAGTCCAGACTTCCCCACCCACAGACTCTAACTGGAAGACACTGTCCAGTACTTCCTGCCTGATGTGTAACTACCCATTGGCATAGGTCACTTCTAAGTGAGCTCCTGGGGCTGTGAAAACAAAAGCACTTGACACCGTGACCAAAGACTGACGTTCGCCACTGGATGCCACAGTCACTCAGGTGCTATGCTGGGGTTGGGGGCGTGGCTCAGTGATAGAGCACTTGTGCTAGGGCACACTCGACTGAGGGCCTGGGTTCGATCCCCAGCATTGCCAAAAAACAAAAAAGAAAGAAAGAAAGAAAAAGAAAAAGTGTGCTTTTCCAGAGATAGCCAGACATAATAATGGTATAATCCATAAATGGTGATGTGGGAAAACAAATGTCTCAAAAAAAAAAAAAATCACTGACTAGTCTCACAGGTCTGTGACCCTGCAAGGGAGCTATTACCCCTCAGAACACAGGCCCATCATTTTTAGGCAGAAGCTGGCCTTTGGAAACTTGGAAAGGAATATATTTGGGGTAGTTTCTGCCACCCCAGCACGCTATCCATGCTGGGCTCCCACTGCCAGGCTGCTCCCTGAACTCAAAGCCCAGAGTACCTAGCACACTGCTATGACAGAGCAGATGGTTTGTGACATGGATCTGTGTCTGGCCATCTGAATGAGCTCTGGGCCTGTTTCCTCACCTGTGAATGGGGTAAGAATAATACCTGTCTCCACAGCAGGCTTTGAGTTTTAAGTGCTCAAAAGAACTACAAGGCTCAGTGGTGCTGAGTGTTGGTTTCTTGGTCATCTGCCTGCCTTCCTTAGGTCTGGTGTTTCTTATGGTGCTGAGCCCCTGTGCACTGCCTGTCTGGACTGGAGCAGCTCACCATGGTGATAGCAGGACACTCCACTGATCTCCAGTCACTCCTCACTGACAGGAACTGGAAAGCAGGGGCATAAAACTAAACCCACCGTCAGCCTGCTAATAACCTTTGTCCAAAACCACACAAGGCCAAGTGGTATGGCGGTGTCCATTCTGACTCAGGTCCAGTGATACTGTGATAGATGGTGTTTTCCAAAGGCCACAACTTGTGACGACACTGCTCCACTGTGAGGTGAGGTCTCATTCTCTCTTTCTGTATCTGGGTGGGCCTTGTTGACTATTATGGAAGTGACATGTTGTGACACTTGGTGTTGGCCATAGAAATGATCTCTTTCTCTCTGGCTCTTTCTCCCTTGAGAAGTTTGTCCTTGGGCCCAGCCACCATTCTGTGAGGAAGTACAAGCTATCCCACAATAAAGAACATGTGAGAGGTTCATGCGGAGGGAACTGAGGCCTCACCTGACAACCACCACCAGCAGCCAGACCCTACGTGAGCAAGCCTTTCCACAACTCCTGGCCAGCCTTCATGGTCTTTTGCTGAGGCCCACACACTTCTAGCCCTATTCAATTCCTGACCCACAGTATCTGTGAACAAAATTAACATTTGTTTACAACTAGTATGTTTTGGTAGTATTAATAACTATTTACTTAGCCAGAGTAAGTGGAATATATATAAGACCATCACTGACGTTCCTAGGCTGTGCCCCAATTACTCACAACTCCATGCAATAGAGTCTCCTCTGCTAACTCCCAGAGGCAGCCCTGCTGAGAATTCACCTCCTCTGCTGTCACCACACTCACTTCTCACACCACTAATCTCTGTTGACTTGCCTGATTCTTCCTGGACACAAGGCAACACAGAATAGTGGCAAAGAGCACTGACTCTGGCCTACACTGCCTGGCTGTGTGCTGTGCTTCCACAGTTTATGAGCCGAGTAGTCTCAGGCAGGTTTCTCACACTCTCTGTGCCTCAGTTTCCTCAACTGTAAACTGGAGGGAAATCCTTCCTGGCAGTTGAGGGGCTGCTGTAAGAGGGTATTGAGTGTGTAAGGCCAGAGCTAGGGCTGGGTTCACAGGTGCCACTCATAGTGCACTGCCTGTTGCTTTTTCCAGACTGTGAACTCCTTGCAGGTAGGAACTGAGTCCCACTCCCAGGGATGACCAGAGGGACTGGCACCTATGCACTCAATCAATACTGAAGGAACAAACAGCAGGCAGACAGACCTGGACCTGGATCCAGGGGAGGCTGCCATGAGGAATGGCAGGCCATGCAGCTTACTCTCAAATCTGCCAGGCTGGAAGCACACCTTCCCTGAAGTGGACCCTCAAGAGGTTACAGGGGCCCAAAGGTCATCAGCCCCTCCTAGGCCATCTCTCCAACCCACTCCTGAGAAGGTCTTGGTGCCTGACCTAACATCCTTTTGTGTGTGGCATGGTGTATTAGCATGAGCCTGAGTTCTGTGGTCCAGCCAGCCATCAATATCCAGCTCTGCACACAGCTGGTCAGAATCATCAAATTTTTCATCTCTCAATTCAAGAGTCTTGGTCTTTTAAAGGTGCTCTGGGGCCAGTCTGGAAAATACCAATTTGTAGACAGTTTCTTTTAAAGAATCATTAGTGAGTCAATAATGGACTCACTGATTCTCGGAGAAAGGAGATAAAAGAGAATTTCCTTGGATGTGACTCAACCAGCCCAAAGCAGGGCCTGCTGACCATCTGGACAAATCCATCCCTTTTTAAGAAGTGACAGAGCCTCACAGAACACCACCTCAGCCTCCAGCAGTGGTGCTTAAACTGGGAACCTCCACACATGCACCAGAATCAATGCAAAGACACAAGGGCCCTGGCTGTAGAAAGAGCAGAGGAGCCAAGCTATGACCAGGAATGGGGAGGTCAGGCAGCAGCTTGTTATCCAGCCACTCTTCCACCCAGGATACTAGTACTGCTCCATGAAGAGACCCCACAAATACAAAATGGCCTGTGCCTCCCTGGATGCCAACCACAACCTGTGCATCAGGCTTAGTGCTAGGCCCTGGGGGTCACATTAGTGACCAAGGGACCTGCAGATTGGGCCTGTTGGTCCAGAAAGGAGAGATAATCTCTTCTCTCTGTTTTGCCTTGGTCATTCACATACTTGGAACTTGTCATTCATCCTAGATACCAAATCTTAAGCTAGAGATAAAAGCATGCAATCAGGAAAGCAGGACAAGAATGGAGATGAAAGAAGGACCATGGAGCCTTGAAGTCTGGAGAAAACATGGGGTCACTTACTGCCTATAGACCATGGAGCCTTGAAGTCTGGAGAAAACATGGGGTCACTTACTGCCTATAGGTGATGGCACGTTGTCTACACATCAGACAGGACCCACGTGGTCCCAGAGGCATATCCCAGAAGGACTTCAGCTTAATGTAAGGAACCATTTCTAATGGACAGTGTCTTCAGAGCAGAACATATGTGCTCCCAGCCAGTGCACTAGAGGTAGGTACCCCTCAGTAATGGCAGCATAAAGGGTGCCTTCCAATACAGAAATGTGAAGCCTTATTTCCTCAGAAGCAGCTTCTCTAACCCAGAGTTGCCTGGACAAGAAGTTGCAGTCAAGACACTGCTATCCAGCAGCCTCTTGGGTAGAGTCCCTGAGAACCAACAACTGCAATATAGCCCCAAGGGTCCCAGGGTTCAGAGAGGAGCTACTAAAAAGTGTCCTACAAGCTCACACTGTAACCCTAGCCACTTGGGAGGCTGAGATCAGGAGGACTGTGGTTCAAGGCCAGCTTGGGCAAAAAGTTCACAAGACCCCATTTCCAAAATAACCAGAGCAAAATGGACTGGAGGTGTGGCTCAAGCAGTAGAGCACCTGCTTTGCAAAGCATGAAACCCTGAGTTCAAACCCGGGTCTCACCAAAAAAAAAAGTGCTTTCTGGTCATTTCTGTCAGCAGCTCTATGGTCAGGAGGCAGATACACAGTCTGTTCATTCAATAAGCACTCACTAGGCACATACTGAATCCATGCACTGTGTGGGAGAACCAATGATCCTGGGCATGCTGAGCTACTCCAAACTCACTCCCCATGCATCTTCAGCACCTACAGCTGGCCTCGTGGTCCAGCCCTCTTTGCTATTCCAAAACACTCTGGTGATCTGGAAAGATGGGCAGCATTCGACTCCAGAAAGCTGGAAGATGAGCCTGGAAAACTGTATTCTCAGTGGCCGGTGATCATCATGGGCAATAATAGGTACACTGTGCCACCCTATGCCCCATGCAAATGCTCTGAGCTGCTCCAAGTGGCAATGCTCTCCTCCCTTGAGGCTTTTTGTCTGTCCTCTGTGGATCCTGCTTGTCCTCACTTCTTGCCTTCCCAAATGCTGTTTGTGGCCTATCTCTTCTATCATATCTTCTCAAAATTTTCATTTACTCTTATCTACTGAGCTCTTGTACTTCAAGGCTCTGTCAGAG